AAAAAACATTATAAACATTTTGCATTCAATTTCAAGAGTTTGACAGGAAAAAAAGAAGTTTGGTGGGTTTCTTGGGATGGCATAGGTTTTGCTAGGGTTCCGTGGAATCCCATGTTAACAACTTCTGCTTATAGGAATTTCTATTAATTATTCTCCAGAGGTCTACTTTTGGCTTTTAGTGCAACTGCTGTACACAGAAAGGTTAGAAGAAAATAAACCTAAATAGGCAACCAAATCTTGGTGAAACATTTGATTGCTGCCTCATATAACATACCAGCAATGGCTAAATTAAAGGAATTTAACCTTTAATTTGACAGAGCACCAACATCAAGAACATTGAGACAAGGTAAAAGTATTTTACATAATGCAATTAAAATACTATAGTTCCAAAACATTTAAGAAAGATAAATGAATTTATCTTTGGATTTTGTTCTAATGATGATCTAAAGTTATTTTATTTTGTATCTTTTGTTATGTCTTAATAAGACAAATGTTTTCGATTATAAGATTTAGAAATTAATTTTTCTAAGTTTGCATGAAATGAGTCCACAGCAGAGACTGTCCACTTAGTATCACTGCCCTGTTAGTGTGTGTAGGCCTATAATCACTGCCCCCTTCTGGTAGCACACTTAAATTGCAGGGACAGCATAAGAAATTTCTTGGTGGCTGAAAGACACTTTCAGAAGTTGGCATCTATGTGATAGGCATCCTCAGTCATGGTGATAGGATTAAAAAATTCAAATAAGTGCCTGAAAGTATAGTAATAGTTTCAATTTTCTCTGCCCACATGGAATCTGGATACTTGTTGATATTTCAAGGGGCTCACACCACCAAAACATAAATATTTCAGTGGTCTATATACCGTTGGTCCTCGTGGTCCTGGCCTTGTACCTTCTGAATAACCTGGCTCTCCCTTATCTCCTTGGAGACCATGAGTACCTGGGAGGCCTGGTCTTCCAGCTTGACCTGGGAATCCCATAGTTCCCTTTTTCCCTTTAGAACCTGAAATTGGGAGAAAAATAAGGTGAGGAAATAAGGTAAAATAAACACATGGATCTTGAAGTGTTCTTTGTCTTCATGGAAACCACCCTTCTCCCAAGAAGTTGCTTTTCCAGAATCACAGGTATGCATCAGGTAGTTACAATGGCCGATTTTTATACAGCATCAATTTTTATTTTGTTGATGCTCATATTCTGGATGCACAGAGTACATTTACCTAAAAGCAAATCTAGTTGTTTTGCATAAACTTTCTACCAAGTGGAAAGCCAAACAATACACAACACAGAAAATGTAAAATTGTGACCTCATTGTGAGCTTGTAGGCTCATAACAGGACCTTATGCGTTACCTGGTAGGCCCATGTTCCCCACACTTCCTGGCACGCCACGGGGTCCTGGTTTTCCAGGATTCCCAATACTGCCCAGATCTCCTTTGGGGCCTTGAGAAGAAATAAAGAATCATATACCCTACATGGTTCCCAGCCATGATATATGCTTGTTGGTAAGTATTTGTTGCTCACATGAATGAATGAATTCAGAACAGCCAGACCAGCTGGTTTAGGTACTTGGTTAGCCTTCTTTTTGCCTTCAGATAAGAAAGGAACTGGGGATTCAGAACCCATAGAAGTAAAGAAAGTTAGATTCCCATCAGCAGGACTGGATTTTTAAGCATCAAAATCATCTTAGGACTAACTCCAGCAGGAAAGGGTAGGCTCCTGTGACCACAAAGTAATATATTTTCAACTTAAGTTTCATTGCCATGTAATGCATTTATTCCTGAACTAGTAATGGGAATAGTGGGGCTATTTTAATTGTTTTAAAAAAATATTTTGAAAACTCAGTAACTTGTAAATAAAAAAGGAAAGAGGCAAATCTGAAAACACTTAAACTTTGCATTATCTCATTTTTGTCTCTGATATGTAGTATTGTGATAAACTATAATTTGTAATACATATCAGCAAATTTAGAATAAAACATTGAGAAGGAAAAGAAATGGAACTATGTATTAAGTCAATTTTTTTCATTAATACATGTCTACTATAAATACCTTTATTTTAGTTTAATTTAGTAGCAAATTTCTGCTAGAACATTACCAGAGCAGAATTCATATTTAGCCTATAAGTCCAGAAACAAGGTTTATTACATTTAGATAGAAGAAAATTTGAGACATGGTATTTCTATTCAAGAATCTGCTATACCTGGTGGTCCCGGTGGCCCACGTAGTCCTGAGAAGCCTTTTAAACCTGGCAACCCTGGAAAGCCTCTGTTTCCTTTTTCACCTGGAATTCCTGCATATCCTAAAGTTAAAAACTGGGTTAGAATTTTATCAGACTCTTCCACATCCTAGTTTAAATTGATGGGATATTAGTAATATTTGCTGAGAGCTTGGGAAGAGGTGGGCTTCTATCTTTTTAAGAAGAGGATTAAATCAGATGACCTTTGCAAAGCCTTAGCACAGTGCCTGGCATAAGTGAGGCCTCGATGAACACTGGCAATGTCATATTTACTCTTTAAAACATTTTAAGAAGTAATAGCCTACATACTTCCTCTTTTTTTTAATAGTAAAGACTGAGCACTATCTTTTCCTCCTTCTTGTCTGGACTATTCCGTTCTCAATCCACGTATTACAATTGTCATTTATTAGGTATTAGGTAAGCCCAAAGTCACACTGTCAATTAGCTATAATGCTGGGATTTTTTTTTTTTGTTTGTTTGTTTCTTTTCTTTTTCTTTTTTGAGACAGAGTCTGACTTGGTCACCCTCAGTGGAGTGCCATGGTGTCATAGCTCACAGCAACCTCAAACTCTTGGGCTCAAGTGATTCTCTTGCCTCAGCTTCCCGAGTAGCTGGGACTACAGGTGTAGTCCCTGGCTATTTTTATGCCTGGCTATTTTTAGAGACGTGGGTCTCACTCTTGCTCAGGCTGGTCTCAAACCTGTGAGCTCAGACAATCCACCCACCTCTGCCTCCCAGAGTACTAGGATTACAGGCGTGAACCAACCTCCACTCCCCGGGCATATAGCGCTGGGATTTGAATCCAGTTCTGCATGGCTAGAAAGCTCATAAACATCAAGGACATCATTATACTCTCCCTAACACATGATTCTGATCCTATGTTTCTCCTGCTCATAAATCTCCATGGAATCTCTATTACCTACAGAGTAAACGACAAGCTCCTCCCACTGTGTGAGGCATTCTACAATCAGTCTGGGCCTGGCTTTGTGCCTTTTCTCAAGAAGATGCACTTGCTTTGGCTGTTTTTCTGCTTAGATTCTTATTCATCCATTCCCACATGGATTAAGTATCTAATTAACAGACAGGTCTTGTGCTGAGTATGAAAAATATAAATAAATCACATCCTCTTGCCCCAAGTTTTCGTGTTTAGTTGGAGACAACCAAGTAAACAAGCAAGTACTGTCCAGTGAGATGAATTCTGTGAAAGAGTTGGGCAGAACATGCTCCAGGGAAGAATTTCTAGAAGAGGGTTATTTTTTAGCTCACTCTTGCCAACCAAGTGAGAGCTGGCTGGGTGGAGAAAGCACGGAATGGGGCAGGATTCCCAGGCAAGAAAGGAGCATGTGCAAGGCGGTAATGAATGTTGGAGGTTAGGTTGTTGTAAAACTTTTTTTTTCCATTTAAGTAATTTATCACGATCTAAAAATATATATCATTTGGCGTGTTCATTTGCTTCAGTTTTTTAGGGATTGGAAAAACATAGCCTTTGGGCCCAATCTGGCTTGCTTTTCTATGACTGGAATGCGAAGGATGGTTTTTACATTTTTAAAGGGTTATGAAAACAAAACAAAACAAAACAAAACCCAAGGAAGAATATGCAACAGAGACCATCTGTGATCCACAAAGTCTAAGATGATGATTACTGTGTGGCTTGTACAGAAAATGTTTACAGACCCACTAATGTCTTCCCCCATCCCCAAGTTGTAAGTTTCCTCATGATTAGAAGACTGAGTCTGCTCTATTCACCTCTCTGCATTCAGGACACAGCAGAATGCGAGTCCACAGGGGTTAAACAATTATAGCTGAGTACATGTGATGTTGCTGGAGAGCCAGGCACAGGCAAGTGGTAAAGAAATTTCTATGCCAGTCTAAGAAGTTTGAATTCTTAAAGCAAGGGGAGCTTTGGAAAGATTTTAAGCCAACATTTTTATTTGCTTATCTGAATCCTACTTAACCATTTCAATCCTCTTTCACGGAGTTTTCTCTGATTCTCCAAGTCACTGTGTTTTCTGCTTCCCTTAGCTGCTACAGCGCTCTCAGCATCAGTGGTACTGGCAGCAAAGTGAGGAGGCTGAGTGTGGACTGAGGAACCAACCACATCAGTGGGAGGTGTGTCTCCCACTTACTATCACCATGACATGGAGCAAGGAACTTGGCCTCTCCAGCACCATCTGTAGAATGGGGTGATAGCAAACATAGTACCTACTCCTAGGGCCGCAATGAGCATTAAATGAGTTAATATTTTGTAAAACTTAGAAGACTTTTTCCACCTGGTAAGGGCTATACAGGTCTTTGTGAAATATCATGACAGTACTAATTTGTAACTTGTATTATTCATTTTTTTCTTTATATGTGTAAGGCCCTAGTAGAGGCCACTTGAGCACAGGACAATGACTATGCTTATTTGGACCCTCAATATCTCTTCCACATTTGCAGTCAAGATCTTTAAGCCTGAAATTCAGATTTAAATAAAATGCATCATGCTTAAATTAGAGTAATATGATCTCTCTCTGTGTCTCTCTTTGTTTGGTTCAATCTGTGCTCTTTGGTTATGTATTTGAAAAGTCAAAAGAAAACAAACAGAACAGCTTTGATGCCCACCATACTTTCAGTGAGTAAAATAATCTTGTTAGAAGCGTAGGAATCTCATGTGTCCCTCTGTACTTTACGAAAGGAATTCTTTAATTGTACATTAGTACTCACTGAATATTTATATGGCGAGAGTCACATTTTTGGCTTACATAGGCCTAGATACACTATGCATATTTTTTCTAAAATGTTTCTAATGTTACTTAGATAATCTAGGATAGGCCAGTGAGGTGGTTTATAAGAACTGGGAATTTGTGCCAGTATTTTCTTTTTCATATCTTGCCTTAGACTAGTTTTAGCAGAGTTTTATAAAATTCACGTTACTTTCTATTTCATTGCCATGCTGTGTTTGCAACAGAACTAAGCTCTCTCTTCAACACCAGGTTACATGAGGACTACTCAAAAGGCTTTCGCTTCCTACCTCCCCGGTTGTCTTTCCATCACGCTCTGTAGCACCCTCTGCAGAGTTTTTAAAGCAAATCTTTGCTCAGACTGCAGTGTCAGGCATGTAAATATTTGTGGAATACAATCTTATTTCTTAACATTCATTATAAATTTCTCAAAACTTGATATGGTTTTACAATTGTGAACACATTTTTCTCTTATTCCTTCCCTGCTCTGAAAGTCTGCAAAGGTGATATTTTACCCAGCAATTCTCTGTTTTCTAACGTTACTCGGGATTAAATTTGGTCAAGAAGACTACAAGGTAAACCTTCTTAAAATGTGGTTTTAGCCTGATTGCATTGACTATATATGACAATCAGAAAAAAAATTTATCCTGGTAGTTAACAGAACAAAGTTGAATCTGGGGTAGAGGTTTCAATTTCAGCCGGAGAAGTTATTTTCTTTTTCTTTTTAATTTTTTTAAAGAGAGGATTGTCTCACTATGTTGCCCAGACTATACTAGAGCTCTTGGCCTCAAACAATCAATTTCACAAAATGCTGGGATTACAGGTGTGAATCACATCTCCCAGCCTGATGGTCAGGATCTAAATGTAAGAAGTTCTTTACCTTTTCGACCTGGTTCTCCTTTGTCCCCTTGGAAGTGGGATATTTGAGAAGGTCCAGGATTTCCTTTATCTCCTGGTTCCCCTTTGGCTCCCAAGGGTCCTCTCTTGCCCTTCACTCCTGGAATTCCAAGGCTACCTAACAGACAGGAGTAACACCATCATGTCCTTAATTCTTTAAGTAGTTTATAGGGATCAAAAGTTAACAGTGCTTGCAATAAAACAGAACATAGCAAACAAAGAAGGCTAACAATACTAAGAACTTAATAGTTTCCAAGCAAGTAATATATGCCTGCAGGGAGAAAACAGGGCTCCACACGGATGGAAAAAAGGCAAAATCAAATAGTTATTCTCTTAGAACTATTTTTCCCTAAAGAATGAAATGTAACTTATTTTGCTGCTAAAGAAATGGACATTGCTGATGCCTCCTGATAGCTGGAAAGACACTCTGTCACTTACCTCTCTGCCCCTGGGCACCTGGGTTCCCAGGAGGCCCAAGAAGGCCGGGTGATCCAGGATAGCCCATCATTCCAACAGCGCCTCGGTCTCCTGTGGAAACAAATTAGCACCCAGCAGCACATGTTGTACTGATGAGAGAAGTAAAACATTCAATAAAACAAAATAAATTATACTTAGAAGGTGAGATTGGGAGTCAAAAGAATGTTTTCTGTAAATAGGAAAAGATGGATAATGACCTTTTTACCTCATCTATGTGGGTACCATTGGTAACAAGTCACCTTTATAGATGAGTCCAGAACAGATTACGGTTTTGGTGCATTCCACCCTCCCACCTCTAACCAATGGCTTTCTATTATATCCCTCTATTTTATTTTCTTCAGAGCACTGGGTTTTTAACTGTATTTATTATTGTTCCCCTACTATGATTAGGCGAGACTGTCCACTTATGTGTCTCTAGAGCAGTGATTTTCAACCAGTATGCTATGAAAAATTTTAAAGATCATTAATTATTTTTGAAAGAAGTTCAAAAGTAAGTAAATTATTTTTTTACTCTTTTTTTTGATCAACATAATTTAAGTGTGCTGCAAAAGTTTAACTACAGGTTTAAGTGTGTTGTGAGACAAAAAAGGTCGAAAAACACAGCTCCAAAGCTTAGAATAGTGCTGGCACAGGAAAGAAGCTCAGTGATGTG